GGCTCTTGCTCGCTCAGATGTAGCCCAAATGCTCTGTACGTGGGGTTTCTCTCCCCACGTCTTATTTGCAGCTCTCCTTTTTGTAAGTGTGAAAGGGTCTGGAGGGGTTTGATGTTTTGCATTTCAATCAAAATGTATTTTTTCTCTTTCTCCTTCCCATTTTTAAGCCAGTTCAAGTTATTGTTTTGCCAGCTTCTTCCTTTATTCCCTTCACACACGCACAAAAAAAAGCCATGTAAAGCCTTTATGGTCTATGGGCAGAGCAGCCCCTGCTCCCCACACTTCCCCTGAAATGAAGCTCGTTAGCCTCCATTATGGAGCTGTGGGTTTGGTTTTGCGTGGCCTTTGCTAGCCAGGGCATCTTCTCACTCCCGACCCCCTCAGGTGGGACTGAGGTGGCTCTCCTGTCCCCCCACCCCGAGATGGTCACTGCATCTTCGGTCGCCATCGGCACTGGCAGGGCGGCGTGAGATCAACTCTTATCATGTGTTTATATAATGGCCTTTGTGCCTGTACGTGGGTATTTTATATTATATAAAAGGGGATTGGTGCAAAATGGTGTGTGTGGGGAAGCAGCGCTGGTGGCTGGATAGTAAATTTTTTTTTTTTTTTGGAGGCTGTGTAGTATATTGTAGGTGTCTGTGTAATGTTGGATATTCACGTATGCAAACACTCATGCAGAGCACACACTTGCTCTGAGGTTGCATGTGTGTTAATCCCGTATGGAAAACTAAATGGTTTACCCAAATGATTGCCCTGCAGCCCCTGGGAACGCCGCTGCCTTGGCTGTAGCGCGCAGGAAGGGTGGCAGGACAGGGGGAGGTTAAGCCTGCTGGGGGCGCGGGAGGGATGGCTTTTTAAATTTTACACATATAAATAATATATAGAGTGTAATATAAATTTCATAGAGACTAATACAAGTTTTTTATGTAAAATATTATTTCTTCTTGTAATAGTAGACCTGAAGATCGGATGGTAAGAGCGGATGCTGTAGATGGTGGGGGGTACGTATGTGAAGTAGGAGCAAATGTGGTAGATGTTTGAACTCCTGGAGCAGTTGTTGGGGCGTGGGATGTATGTGTCCTGCCCCCTTACCATGAATCCAGGCTGTTGCTCTCTGGCTATCCTCCACGCAGGTTTTCTAAGCACACTTGTGTGTGTGTGTGTTGGGGGGGAGATAAGGCAAAATGACAGCTGTGCGAGACCACGATTTTTCACTCCATTATCCTGCTTCCCGCTTCCACCCCCTCACCCTGGAGCATTTTTTAGATTCCCTTTTGGAGCCTGTTGCTTAATCAGCTAGAAGGGCTGCTGCCTAGTTGTGTGAGAAACCCTTCTTAACCTGGCTCCTGCCTGTCCCAGAAGGGTGGGACCAAATTTAGGCTTGGGACTGTGGTGTTGCAGAGCAGTAACTGCTGTGCCCTGGTGTGGAGGGAACCCCGCCGGAACCTATGGCCTGGCCTCTGCAGCTTGCTCAGCTGTGCTTGCCCTGGCTGTGAGTTGGACTCAAGTGGAAGTGCTCAGGGTTAGCAGGCCTGGGCAAACACGGCCATGAAGGAATGGAGGTTCGAGAGCCGTCTTCTTGACGGTGGTGTGACGGGTTCCCTGGGACACAGACCTTTGATCGTTTATTGGAGTAGGAGTGTAAGCAAGTCAGATGTATGTTAATGTGGTTATACAGAACAGCAGGCAGCGGATAAAAATCATGTCTGTTTGCTGCGTCCTCACCCAGGTACGCCTGCCTCCTGGTTTGGTTCCCAAGGCTCTGCCTACATTCCTTGTAGTAAGAAAGTCAGAAATCGCCACAGGGTTTTGTAGACTTTAGATGCGCAGAAACCCAATTGCATAAGTAAATACTAGGTGAGGGGACTCCACCTTTAAGTGTTTTGCGTGTGGTTTCTGGTGACTGGAGCTCTGCTTTCAGGGTTCACAATGTCCCCTGAATGCCTTGATGGGATTATTTCCCTGTATGTCTCTGTAGCCCGTCCATTCCTCTTTCTGTAATCCCATCTCCTGGGGCAGGAGAAGCAGCTCTGTGTTTATAGTATGCCCAGAATCCTGTAGTTTGGATTATTTTTTTTGTCTCACAAGGCCATTCCTCCCTCCTTTCCTTCAGTGATGCTTCCTTCCCACTGAGCTCCAGCAAGGGAAAGTTCCTCTCACCTACTTGTGAAAACATGAATCATTCCTCACCTTTCCTGTCCCCAGCAGGCTCTGTGTCTGCATTTTATACGCTAATAATGTGGCATCGCATAAATTAGGAGTGTGGCAAATCCCTCTAAAAGGAGACGTGTTGGCTGTCTTGGGAAGAGCTGTGGTTCGTAGAATAAGTTGGTGGCCATGGCAGGGGTGAGGGAGGGGGGGCTGTTAACGGAGGAACAGCTGGAACTGTGTTTGGCTGAGACGTTTGCAGCAGAAGTTGAGTTTGGCAGGGAGAACAAACTGTGTGGCCGTGGTCCTTCCACCTACTTGGTTTTCTGTGCAAGGTGAGTAGGCTAAGCCTGGGCATGTTGATGGGGTATAGCAGGTCAAAGGGTTAGCTAATCATCTTGGGTAAAGGGATGAGGAAAGGGCTGAGCTGCTAAAAACAAACAGCCGGCACACCTGGGTAGGCAGCAAGAGATGGAGAGGCTCAAGTAGACTGAAGGAGGCTGTGATCCCATCAGCAGAAGTGCGTGGAGATAAGCAAATGGTGTTCCTAGTCAGTGTGCGCCTCGCCCCGCAGGGTTCAATTCAGCGAGATGTCTCCTCCCCATCCCCTGTGCCGGCCCCTGCCTAGGGGCGATGGAGTCGCTTGCTCCTGGCAGTCTGTCTGTCTCTCACAGCCCTTGGGGTCCTGTGCTTTGCTGCCACCGAGGTGCAGGTGGGCTGGGCTGGAGAGCGCCCCTTCTCGTAGGGTTTATTGTGCCTGTCCCTTCTGGTGTCTCGCGTGGTTACCACCGTCCGGGTGCCAGGTCCTGTAGGTTACAAGGAGCAGTGCCATCTGTCTTCATGGTAGTGTGAAGTGATTGCCCACTGAAACCTTCTTAGGAGGGATTTCTTGCCCCCGCCCCAGTGTCTAAACAAAACGGTGGGGAAGAGATTCAGTCCTGCTTCATTCCCATAGTGGGAATATGGAAACATGCTTGAAAGGGTCATGTTCCTGCAGCTCTAGCAGTTCTAGCTCACACTGTCCCCGGACATCTAGGAGATGAGGAGGGGGGATAAAGGCCATGTAGAAAGTGGAGTATTTCAAGATTAAAAACTGTACCCAGCCTCTGAGTGAAGTGGTGAGGTCTCTTCTACAGCCTTACATGATTCACTTCCTGTTTCTGCTCTGACGCTGCGCTTTCTGTGCTTCTTTTCTCAGCACGACTGAACCATGGAGCTTCGAGTGGGGAACAAATACCGGCTGGGCAGAAAGATTGGCAGCGGTTCATTTGGAGACATTTACCTAGGTGAGTGTGAGTCTCTGTCCTTCCACCTGCAAGGTTGTTTTTCTCAATTGCATCATTGTCTTGGGGTTGTTTGCCTTGGGTGTTGATATTTGTGGGCACCATGTAATGTTGGAGGTGGTGGAGAGAAAAAGAGCTTCAAGGAATACTGCTGGTTGCTGCTGGTCGTCTGATGGCAAAGGAAATGGGCTGAGCTCAGCTTTGCCTTGCAGATATTGGAGACACAGTGATGTTTGATCAGACTGTTTTAGATTTGGACTATTCAGGGCATATTTGTCATACACCCTACTCCAGCTCTCTGGCTTCCTTTTCTTGAGCTTGTGTGTGTGTGCGTAAACTATAAAGAGTGGGTGGTGGAAAGGGAGGAGATGGCTGTTCCTTCAGGGTAGAAGGAATAAAATGTTGGGGAGATTGGTAGTCAAAGAGGTGGTCCAGCACCTGAGAGAGAGAGGTCTGAGGCCAGGAGGTCTAAAACAGGTCAGAGAGGCTGGCCTGGTTAAAGACCTGGGGCCCAGATCTGTTAGATCTGTAATGGGATTTAGAGTTAATGTCTGGAATGACCTGAGCTGGGAGCTCAATGGACAGAGCCCATGAAACACTGGGTTTCCTGTTACCATGGCAGGTCACTTGGGGAGAAGTTCTTCCAAGCCAGCACACTGATCTGTAGATAGGTTCCCTGATGCTTTGCCTGCTGATGTTTTTATTGGCTCAAACCATGTGGGGCCAGAGTGGCGAGACTACCCAGCAGCCTGATCGATCCCTCCATGAGTGCTGGTGTGGCTTTACCTGTTGTCTAGTTCTCACCACTACCTGTTTAGCTGTAGTCCTGCAGGCCAGTGGAATGATTGCCTTATCCCTTCTTGGCGTTTTCACCCTTTGGGTACTTACAGATGGTCATCATACGCTCCTTGACGTATGTGCTCAGTTGAGTTGTATTTTGCTTCCGAGTACATCCACCACTCCTCACTCTTGCTGCTCCTTCAGTTTTTCCCGGTTTGTTCATCTGCTGAGCAACATAGAGCCTATGCAGCATTTGAGGTGTGGTATTTCCAGTGCTGGGCAGGAAAGGGCTACCCTTGAGTGGTCTGTAATGTGATGCCTCTGCATAGACTGCTTTGGGTCTCCTTGGCTTCCCCCATCACCAGCACTGTATCAGGTTGCAGAATTGGCCTTAGCGCCGTCAGCTGTATTGTAGGAGGTCTCTTCTAGGTTCTGCAACATCTTCCCATCCCTTCCTGAGTTCCTTTCATTGAATCTCTCTAGTTCAGATTACATTTCCCTGTGTTTGTAAATCACCTTCTGTTTTCTACCTCTGGCTTTTATCTCCAGTTCCCTCTTGCTTTATTATTCTCTCTTGATTGGTGTTGGCAGCCTCTCTTGATTAAGTATCCTGTGGGAATCATCAGTAACAGGCTTTGTTGCCATCTTTATCCAGAGCATGAACAAAGATGATAAATAATGGGTCTGGGATCCCAGTTCCACTGTGTGCTGCCTTCACTGCAGCCTACTCCTGTTTGTCACTCCTCGGTGGCCCTCCAGCCAGTTAGTGTCTCGGGTGACAGTGGTTTCAGTTCCCAGGTGCTAAGGATTGAGGGGTGAGAGCCTGGACACAGCATTTTCCACTTGTGGTAGGGCTGGAAGCCTTCTAGACCCTCTCTAGGACAGTAGAAGTTGTCAGGATCTTGCAAAACATCTGGGAAGCATGTGGAAAAAGAAGGGAGGTACTGAATGGAAAGGCCTCTGCATCACAAAACAGGTCATCCACCTATGCAAAGAGGGCATGGAAAACAGGGACTCTGGTGAAGGGCTTGTGCCCACCTTGCCGGTAACCAAACAACATGAGGGGCATGTGTGGTGAGCACAGTGGGATGCCTCCAACTGTCGAATTAAACCAAGTTACTTGAACGCAGTATCAAAGCCCTTGTGATGTTCATTGAGGTGCAAGCCAGTGTGTTTTGAAGCAGTGATAGCGAGACTTCTTGGAGCCTGGGTGACTCCCCAGCCTGGAGGGATCAGGCATGTAGTCTCTGATGGTGCGTCTGGAGGACGCTTGTGCTCATGCTATCCTCTCACAGTCTGCTCTGCAGACAGAGGGACTCCTTCATGAGGACTTCACTCTTGCAGCAGATTCACCTTGCAGTTCTTTCTCCTGATAATGGTGTGGAGACAGAGCAGAGACAGACAAGCCCTGTCTGTCTCTGAAGGTGAGCATGGGCTGTATGCTTTGTTCCCAGATTCTCCCTCTCAGGATGTTAGTGCCTTCACCCCCTATGTTACCAATGGGTGCTGTGTGCTGTGCTCTTTGGGATTTGCTTGTGGGTTTTCTGTCAGGAGGAAGCTTGAATTTCCACATGGGCACACACAAAGGATGGACTTCTGTTAATCCTCGGCAAGGGCTTAAAGCACAATGCCTTGCTTCCATGCTCTGCTTTGGGAGATAGATGTACTATGGGGGGATTCTCCCAGTGTTGATTCAGCAGGGTGGGAAATGAGATCCAGTTGCCCTGGGCCTTGGCTTCCCTGTTTGCCTCTAAAAATGCTCACTCAGAAGAGCAAAACCCAGTTTGCAGAGGAATTGCTGAGACCTTCGGGCCATCTGAAGAGAGGTGCTTTGTCGGAGGTGTTGGCCAAGAGGCAGGGCAGGGTTGCTGGACGTGGTGGGAATCATTGGGGCCGGGATGCACTGGAGGGGACGGGATGCACTGGAGGGGACTGGAGGGGACGTTGGTGGTGAAGAGGAGTTGGGGATGGTGGGGCAGACAAAGCATGCTGGGACCTGCGCTGGCTGGGGACAGTTCCTGGTGGCAGGCTCCTCCCTTGCTGGGAGGGGAGTGCCTTCCCTTTGTTTCCTGGCCTGTTAACTCTCTCTCGCCCTATCTGACTCCTTCCATCTGTTCCTAGCCCTCCTCTCTTCCCCGCCAAGCTGTTGAGAGGGGAGTGGGCGGTGGGGAGAGCGGGGGGACGTGCCTGTTGGCTTGCCCGATGCGCAGGGAGGGCGGTGTTTATTGTATCAGACATGCAGCAAGGCTTCCACTCCGAAAAGATCCTGTTTAGCCGGTGACATCCTCTGTCCCCGGGGCGCAGTTTCAAACAGCTCGTGATGAATGAGTTGAATTTGTGCAGCCCCCACAGCAGAGCGAGACTGGGGGTGGATGTTAGGAATTATTCTTAATCCTACATACGTCTCTCGAGTGGCTGAAGCTAGGCAGGCTCTGCTGCGTTTGTCTGAAATGCGGTGCTTTCCAATCTGGAGAGGGAGTGGGGAACTGTTGCATTTGTACTTGTATCTTTAAAAAAGATGGTGGTTAATGTGTGGAACAAAGGATCAGAGAGACTCCTGCCTGTGAATTCCCTCCTTGCTTGTGGTAGTCTCTGTCTGTGCAGATCTCTAGCCAAAAAATGGTAGAGGGAGAAACCTGAAGATGTTTGGGGAGGGAGCAAGCCTAAACCATTCCGTTGGTAACCCCCTCAGCAAAGAATGACTCCTCATTAGGTCCGATTGCTCCTACTTCTGCTGTTCCAGGCCACAGGGTTGTTGCTTCTTTTTCTAAGGGCTGAATTTGGGCTATGGAGAGTGTGGGGCTGAAGGCCATATTCATCATTTGAATGCCATGTTCACATTTTGCAGAATCTTAAGTTTTCATGATGCTTCATCCCTCCCTTTTCCTGCTTTACATGCTCACAGATAACACTCCTCACCTGCAGACAGCCTAGTAGACGGATGCATCGTCATCTTCTTAAACACACAGAGTAACATGGAGATGAGAACTCATTCATCTTGCCACTGTTCAACTTTGGGGATGTGGGGGTAGGCTTCACATGAAATGCTAACGCTACTGCTGCCAAAAGTCATGCTGACTTTTGCTTGTGTGTCAGTAGATGGACTAGGAGAGGGAGAAATTCCCCCAAGGAACGGACAAGAGAGCTGGTGCAGAGGATTTGGAGGAGAGCCTTCACAAAGGCAGCAGAAAGAGAGGAGGGAAGGAAGGACTCCTATCTGTTTAGACGTCCTGGGTGTTTTCCATGCTGAATGAGGGCCAGTGATTGAACACTAACTTAAAAGGTAGATACTAGTCCAGGGCCACGTTCTTACTGTGATCTGAGCCCCTTTTCCTGCTCTTTTCCTCCTTGCGCTCCTGATGCTTGTAAGAAGGGTCTTGTAGTGGAGTGAAGGGAACATACAGACCTGTTCTGCTGGCCAGCAGTTTTTAAGTGGAAAATGTCAGCATCTTTCCAAAAGTAACCATTGGACGAATGGCTCTAGCTCTTAGGATGGCTTTTTCGCTTTCCCTTCTCCTGGCTCTTCAGTAAAACTCCTTACTAAATTCATCCCATTGCTCCTCCTTCCCCTCCCTGAGAGCACCCTAAATAATTCCTCTCCCTCCTTAGTGTTTACAGCCTTTAAATATTTGCAGACTGTTGTCATGTCCCATTCTTCCTCCCCACCCTTCTTAGTTGTATCTCTTGTCTATGTTACATATTTAGCTCTTTTAATCTTTCTTAGTAAATCAATCCCTCTAGGCCCTGATTGTTTTTGTTCCTCTCTTACAAATTCCTAGCAGCTTGTCTGTCTCTACCCAATGCTGTAGTATCTAGATGACGTCTTTTAGCTAGCAGGCAGCTCTTGGCTAACTTTGTACAAGCCAGAACTCTTGAACAGGAGATGGATTTCCTTAGGATCCAGGAGAGGAAGGGGTCCAGTTGTGTGAACATTTCCTTTTTCTCTTTTGTACCTGGCTCTGAAAGTGGTGTGTGAAAGAGGATGGTTGGAGAGATCTGTCTACAACTGTTCTTGTGGACTCTAAAAGTCTTATCACAGGGATCAGGAGACACAAATTAGCCAGACTTACCAAAACTAGCTGTGGGATAGCTACAAAACATGACCTTTGACTTCAGCTCACGTTTGGCATGCATGTTCTATAGTAGTTTATTTTATAACAGTGTTCGTGAGCTGCTCTCTGATTTGTGTTTGAGTGCAACTTTCAGTAGTTCCAGAGGAATGGCTTGTCTGTGTGTGTGAGGCAGGCATGAGAGGTGGGGAGAGAGAAGCAAGTCTTGAGTGTCATTCCCGTGACCTGTGTACAGATCTTCGTTCTTTCCATTTTAGGATGATGTGAAACATCTGGAATCTGCTCAGCTAGTACAAGAGAGACCAGCCTGTTCCTCCTTTGACAGTGCACTTTGGGACCAGAGCGCTGGCTTTCGTGGCTGGCAGCTCAGTTCTTTTCAGAAAGAAGTGCGTGGGGTGGTGGTTTTGTGTCATCATTGCAAACTATCTAGTAATACCTTCAACAAAGGCATCTGAGTAGCTTCATTCAGCACCGGATTCAGTTTATTTCTTCACGCTTCTAATTTAGGATATAGCAAATGTTTCTGTGTTGGCAAAAGATAAAGGTATTATTAAAGCCCTCAGGAGAGGGAGAAGCTGGAGATTTGGGAATTGCCTGGATTGAGCAGGTCAGGGCTGTGGAAAAAAACAGAGGTAGCTGGGAATGTTAGCAATGTCTCCTCCTGAGCTAATTGGCTCTGTTGAAACGATGTACCTGAGGTAACCAGTAATTTTGCTTGGGAAGAGGTACTCCATATCACTGCCTGAGGGGCTGGCTTGGGTTTAGGGCCTAACTATATGATCAGGGACAGCTAAAACTTCCACTTGATTTAGGTACAGCTGATATATACAGATTGACCTCCCAAAGTCTGGTGCTTTCTGAGATAACGAGGCAGATAACATGTTGTAGGACTGTTGTTCTAGCCTGTCTGCAGGATCAGAGCTGGTTTCCTATTCGCTTGCCTTTGCAAATGGCAGTGCTGGAAACTGTATGAAGTGGCTGAATCTCATGTCTGTCACAGAGAATAAATTTCAGGGCAAATCTTAAGGTTTTGGCATCTGTACAGGCCTTGTTAAAAGTGTTTAGCTTGAGTGGAAGCTTGCACAATCTTCGTTTCACCCTCATTTCTGTGCAGGAGCCAATATTGCGACTGGTGAAGAGGTGGCCATCAAACTGGAATGTGTCAAAACCAAGCATCCCCAGCTCCACATTGAAAGCAAGTTCTACAAGATGATGCAGGGAGGAGGTGAGATGGGGAGGAGAGGATGGGGCTGGGGGAGTGGTTGAAGAAGGAAATTATTCTGGAGGGCCTTAGAAAGGAAATGATTTGGTGTTGCATATGATCCTCTCGGCAGGGAATGCAGCAGTTTTCCTCTGTTCCATGGGCTTAATCTTTCTCTTTCCCCAGTGGGTATCCCCTCCATTAAGTGGTGTGGAGCAGAGGGGGACTATAATGTGATGGTGATGGAGCTCTTGGGGCCCAGCCTGGAAGATCTCTTCAACTTCTGTTCCCGCAAATTTAGTCTCAAGACAGTTCTGCTCCTGGCAGACCAGATGGTGAGTTTCCTCTGAAGCATTTGTGCCTAGTCTCTTTTTCCATGCCTTCCCTCCCTCCATCCTCTCTGCTCAAGAACTGCTATATCCCAGTTTTTTTTCATTTAGGAGCAAGTGGCTGCCAGGTTTCTATTTCTTGATGAAGCTGAGGGCCTGGAACCTAGGCATTGATGGCTTTTCCTGATCTCCATCCCTCCTTTCTTCCCCTGCTGCTCACCCTGTATTAGTATTGCATGCATAGGTGCTTTTGCCTATGTGATGAACGATTGGTATTGCTACCTATCTTGACTCAACTGCGTGTGCCCTGGGTTTAAGACCTTTAACTGTTCTGGACCCTCTCCTTTCCCAGCCTGGATAAGTTTGAAAGTTGACTGGTGTCAATGGTGAAGCTCAAAGTTTTAGTCCATCCAAACTTGCTTCCCATCCTTCTTTGCAGTACTAAAGGTGACCTCTGCAGATTGAGGACTGGGTTGGTGTGCAGGGTTGAATTCTGTATCCATCTCCAGATCCTTCTGCCTCCAGAAGGTGTCTTTTCCTTGGCTGTCATCTCTGATATTCTCTGCAAAATATCCCCTTTCCTGCTCTGAGAGGCCAGTGTCCTGGACAGAGTACTGTTTTTAACAGATGCAGTTATGATGTTTCCTTCTCACTTGTCTCACTATTTATTTATTTATTTCCCCCCCTCTAGATCAGCCGTATTGAGTACATTCATTCCAAGAACTTCATCCACCGGGATGTGAAGCCAGACAACTTCCTTATGGGCCTCGGTAAAAAAGGCAACCTAGTATACATCATTGATTTTGGTTTGGCCAAGAAGTACCGAGATGCCCGGACCCACCAGCACATCCCTTACCGGGAAAACAAGAATCTGACTGGCACAGCCCGTTATGCCTCTATCAACACCCACCTGGGAATTGGTGAGCCTGCTGTTGCCCCTTGATGGGGCTTTCCGGGGAGGTAGTGTGTCCCCCGAAGGAGGGGGTTGGGTTCTCTGCCTGGTTCTGCTGCTGATCTGTGTTGAGGTGTTGGGCAAATAACTGTTAGGCCTGTGTTACCCGCCCTGCCTTTTGTGGCACTCTGAGCTCCTGTAGGCAGAAATTGTCTGCCAGTATGTGTTTGTGCGCCGCTTAGTACAGCGGGGCCCTATTTAGCATCAGGGCTGTGACCTCCCTGACTTTACTGCTACTAACTCTGCCTTGCACAATTTTTGCAGGGTGATTAGATACACCTTAGTATAGGAGACATTTGCAGGCACTGAGCCTTTAGGGGCATGTGCAATTGAAACGTCTCGTGTTGACTCCAGAGTGCCTTTATCAGTGATTATTCTGTAGCTGTCAGAGCTGGAGGATACGGGCCCACTGCAATATGGTCATGCTCCTGTTACCCACCATTGAGGATGCGGGCAACCAATGTGCTGGAGATGTATAAGAAGCTGAAATGAGGGGAGGCTTCCTACTGCCTGGACATCCAGGTTTTGTGATCGAGGATTTGGTGTCATGGGCCTTCAAAGTATGTGTGTGTCTGTGAACCAACACTGCCCCGTTCACCACTGAGAGAGATGAAGCAGCTTTAGGGAGGTAGGGCTCTGCCTCCATGACTAGTACTGTGGG